TAAAAGCCCAGGAGAAGTCAGGAGTAACTCTAACCTGTTGGGTGTATGAGGCGTAAAATAAATAGTATTTCATGCAGATACACAGATTTACCATCATTTAAAATGTAATTTCTGCAGCATTTCAGTATCTGCAGATGACAGTTGACTACCGCTTTAGGGACAGGGAAACTTCATAGTGTGGCAAATTATGAAGCTTGTTTAAACACATTAATTTGCCCTCCTGTGCTCCCTTTTCTATGCTGTCAGTTTCTTATGTGCATGTGAATGCTTAAGCATTTCTGGATGATCGGGATAGTACACTGGTGAGTGTGTCCATGAAGGCTGGGGAAGTGATTTTGTTATTTATTTTTCCTTTCTCCAGCACACACACAGATGCACACAAAATATCTCAGAAGTTAGAAGTGAAGAGCCCTCCCAAATAGTGTGTCTTTTGAGTCAGGTTTCTCCCTCGCCAGTTGAACCAGAACAAACTTAGAACCCCCTCTCCCCAAGCCAGGTTGAACAAAACAAAACCTGACATGAGTTCTTTGCTGAGAGCCAGCAAAGGAATATAGAACTTAACTGCATTTGTATTGAAAGGAGGTGCTGTGAGGTTTAATGGACAGTCTTCTTCCCTTCCCACTGCCTGAACAGTACCCAATGTTCAGTCATAAGAATGTCTTCAAGTCATGTAAATATTTTTTAAATAAATTAAACAAAATGACAGTAGGCAGTGAAAGAATAACTTAGCAGACTTGCTAACGTCCTTCTCCCTTCGTTGCTTGTTACGGACTCTTCTCAAAGAAACAGCTGAGCATGCTGATATTTCAGACACTGTGTAGCTGTTGTAAGAGGGGATACTTGCTAGGATGAAAATTGATCAGGGGTTTCATTACCTTTTTTAAATCTCAGAATCTTAAGTTTTGTGCTTGAAACCTTAAAATCTATTTGGCTACCTTAATTGCAAATATCTAAAAGGCTGAAGTAAATTAATATTAAACCGGATTAGGGATGTGTAGTTAAATTCTGTGACTGCATAAAACTTTCCACTGATTCTAAGGTTGGCTCTTTCACGGTTGAGTGGCTTTTTAAGGTCAGGTCCTTTTGGCAATCCATGGTAGAAGGGTCAGGACCATAAGTTAAGAGAACCGTTGTTAACAAAATAAATGTTACTGTTGTCATTATGTGCTAAAGTCTGCATGTGGCATATGGAGGCTTCATTTTCAGCAAGGTATAATGAAGTGAGGAAGAGATTTTTACTGTACCTGCCCTGCTTTGAGATGTTCTTAATGACTATTTGTTTTTAAACTCTTTCTCAGGATATGGAAGCAAAATGAGTGAATGTCAGTAAATGCACTGATGTTTCAGCATTGTGGATTTTATTCATACTTAAAGACTTGCATTGAGGGGGCTTTGTTTCACATTATGTCTTTTTTTTTTTTCTTGGCAGTGTTTTAAAAAGCTATGTGCATGCATAATCATATGCGGCACTTTATTGCTTATTTTTGGTAGTGCACAGGAGCAAAAATTTAATTTGCTGTTTTCCAAAAGTGCATTGTGTTTATGTAATGGATTTGCATCAGTTGCAGTCTGTAACACAGTTAAGTGTTTTAATTGGCAAAACACCCACATCAAGACTTGTTTGTTTTTCTGATAAGGAGAATGCCAGCTAAGTTAGTCCATATGTTCTGTTCAAATAAGAAGCGACATATTCACATGTAATGGCCATCCTTTAAAAAATTAAAATTAAAATGAAGAAGTAACACAAGACTGATGTGGAAGAGGGGCGAGTTTATGCATAACTATGAATTTTTGTTAATTTTCAGAAATAGAAAATATTTTGCTAAGGAAAGCTGGTCAGCTTGTATTTTTAACTGCTTGTGGGTTATGACTGTATCTGTTGGTGATCTGAGTAGTGTTAAATGAAAGTGTACGTTGCTTAGTGCTTTTTCTCAGAAGGATTTACATCATCTTTATTGTCTTGTGAATAATTGTCTGCTTTCAGAAGACTTGAAACTCCCATACTATATTACAGTTCAACGATATCTTAAAAATGTGTGGAATATGGTAGTAATATGGAAGAAAAATACAAGTTACAGAGCTCCATCTAATGAAATACATCCTCTTCAGCTGCCAGTCGTGAAGGAGCTTGACAGGCTTCTAGTGCTCCACAGCTGCAGAATCTATTTCTGCTTCTTCAGGGGAAATTGGAAAACTTCCACAATTTTTGCCAGCCTCAGAATCCCACATGAGGCATCTGCTCTGCTCTTTTTGCAGAAGAGGGACCCTGACATTGCCCAGCTGTCAGAGATGGCATTTGAACTCCTGCTGATACCAGGGAAACTTCACTTCAGCTCTGATCCTGATGTCCGAATCAAGAAAAAATATCCCAGCTTATTTCCGTTCCTTTTGTTTCTAGGTCATTTGTAGGAATTGTTCAAAGTTGTGTTTGGCTAGGACCTGGCTTTGAACCAAATATTCTTAATTTGTTGGAGTGCTAATCTTCCTTCAGGATTTTTTTTTTCCCCCAAAAGGGTGAAGAAGTCTTCATCATCTTTGACTTGTCATTAACGGCTAACTTTTTGAACAAAGCAGTGCTGATTTTTAAGGGCATTACTCATCCAGTATATGCTAATATAGGACAAAACTGAATTTTTATTAAAATTTAGGTCCACTGACTTACATTGACTGTCCTTATCAATGCAAGCCATTATATTATTGAAGAGCTAGTCAAGAGTATTGTATATACATGATGGCAAATATTTTTGTAGTTTCATGTGAGGAGTCAGAAACTGGATGAGAACCAGCTGTTGATGTGGCTTCTGAGAACCAGAGGTTGATAATGGCTTCCTTCAGCTATGCAACAGTTTCTTTTTGGTAATGAAATAACCAAGAAGACCATAGTGTTTCAATAAGACACAATGAAGAATCAAACTGCTGCAGCCCATTTCCAGCTGGTAGATATTAACTACCTTTGTTCCATTGGATGTTATATTTGTTTTAAAAAAAAAAAAAAAATAATTTTACATTAGGTTAATGCTATTTTTTTTTAATTTCAAAACCTCTGATGATTGCAAAAAGGAAAAAGTCTTGTGGCCACACTTGCCAAGAAACTTGGAATTTACAGGATTAATTTAACATCTGTACCAAATGCTCATAATTTTAAAAACCTTTTAATAACAGTGAGGTCTCAGAATGATTCCATTAAGAAGGAAGAAGAGAACCATGTAACTTAAAGCTTATTTCGTAAGTGTCAATGATTTGATAATATTTTAGTTGTATGCCTGAGTCACAGTGAGGACCTGAGATGTAAGTGCTGATCAGTTGATCAGTCTGTTCATGCAAGATTTGAGTATAGTGCTACAGCTAACTGAAAAATGGGGGCTTAAATGTGAGTTCAATTTTTAGAGGAGAGGTTTAGGATGTAAATCCCACCCTTAAATACTTGCTTTTTTATAGACTGTTGGCAGTAGATTAACATAAATTAAAGCTAGCAATAGGTATTGTTATGATGTGGTTGGATTCCCACCTTACATATGTTGATACATGTCCTTAATTCTAAGGACCATTAAGAATATCTTTGCAGTTTTAAAAAATCTTTTCTCTTGTTCCTTTTGGGGAGTTTTACCTTCCAACCTGCAGCACCTTTATTTTTAGAATGAGTCTAGAACAATTTTTAGTTAGTTTTCATACTGGTTGTAATTTAGTATCAGCCTAGATTTATTCCTAGCATTGTGTTGCAGTGGTAACAGCAACCTAGAGTTTTTTCTGAAGTCGTTTTTGAAACACATGGATGTCCATGAGCTTCTGAAGAATTTTTTTAGTATATCATTGCCTGTGTATTTAGAATTATACTGTGATCTGGTGCAGAGTATTAAATGAAGTAACAGCTTGTCTTTTATGTTCTTGAGTCAATCTCCAATTTTTATTGGCACTTACATATTTCATTGTTTATTTTATTAAGTAAAATCTGTTTCTTTTATGTCCTTTGCAGAATGTGAAAGACGATGGGCAGCATGTATGGAGACTGAAACACTTTAACAAGCCTGCCTACTGTAATCTTTGTTTGAACATGCTAATTGGAGTAGGCAAGCAAGGTCTTTGCTGTTCTTGTGAGTATAAGCATTTCAGTGTCAATTTGCATACACGTCTATTCCTAGAAATATTACGGTTGCTGCATAGCAAAGAACTAATAGCTTCCCAGTACAAAACCATTGCCAGCACAACGGTGTCTCCCCCTTTGTGTTCTGTGCTTGAATGCTCAAGGTTTCATTCTTAATTTTTCAGGATATTGGGATTTCAAAGCTGTTGTTTGAGGGAGTTTTCTGTATTATAATAGCTCTCAGTGTTAGTTCCCTGTGGAGTGTGCCTCTTTTTTTTTCTTTTTTTTACTTTTCTCTTAGCAATTATCATGCTTAAGTTTCAACCTTGTATTTTTGTAAATTTCTTTTATATGTATTAATAATTATTCATATTCTTTAATAGCTATCAGCTTGACTAGCATCTAAGTCCAATATTTGTTTACTCAAATTTTGCACAGAATTTTTGTTTTGTTAATTGTGAAGGTCAAATTGCCAGTTTCCCAGAAATCTAGTTTCTGTAGTACTTCTAAAGTTCTGTAGGTTTACTTGGTTTAAAATCGTAAATCTCAGTCTTACTATCCTTTCACATAGTAACTGATTATAGATTTTAAGATAAAGGAACACAGAAAAACTACTGCATCTAATTTGACCTTCGTTAGACTATTAGATGCAGTTAGTACAGTTTAATTCCTTGAGTTGTATCTATGTATCTCCTAATAATCTGTGTTTGACCAGCTCGTAACCTGTATCTTGAGAAACCCAATTTTGCTGAAAGGTACCTTGTGTCTGAATGTTTCAAGAGATGGATGATCCATATCTTTCTTTTGTGGTGTGTTCCAATGATTAATCATCTTTTTTTTAAGACCTATTTTCTGATTTGAATGTGTCTGGTAGATGGTTCCAAAGATTGGTTCGTGTTATGCCCTTCTCCATTAGATTAATGAGATCTTTAGTACCCACTGTATTCTTCTCATGATGGTATCAAGTCACCTTTCATTGTTCTTTTTGAGAAATTAATCGGTTTCTTAGAGTAACTTACTTTCTGCGTTTTTGGTATGAAAGATAGCCCATCACAGCTAATCAGGACCTTTCTGCCTATACAGTTGTATTGATTTAATTTGAGATTAGTCTGAGTGAATGAGGGGTTTGGAACTGACCATTTCTGTCTCCTCTAAGGGCCACAGATCTCTTTAAAACATAATTCAGATGTAAATTCTCCATGTATGTGTTTTCACATCATATAATTTCATTCACAATACTATGGAATGAGAGATACATTTATTAAAATTCAAACAGATAGAGATTGCATAGGTTCAGATTAGTAAATGCAGATGACAGTATCTGGAATATATATGTCAAATGCTGAATTGACTATTAGATCTTGAAATGTTACATTCTTTAATTTTCTTTTATGTCAGACTGATATAAACTTAGTCTTTGTGAGGAAATATGACCCATATATGTCTGAAAGAGAAAGTTCTGTTGAGCACATAACATAGATCAGCATCTTCAGTAGTTGTCAGAAATGTGTAGACAGGTTATATAGAAATAAACTGCCCCAAAAAAGAGCAGCCTTACAAGAGCTGTAATTTTCTCTGCTGCAGTGTACCTCTTTAAAATGCGCTTGTTATTTTGCTTGACATTTATTTGGTGAGAACAATGATCTCGGAGTATCTGGAGAACATCCACACACTCCTTTCAGTTACTTCATGCAGCAAGGGGCATGAGTCTACTTACAAAACTGTTACACTATTTTCTTGTCTCGCTGAGGTTCTCCAATATATTTTTAAAGCATTGCTATAGATTTCATTATTTGCATTTTAGATTGTGTGGAAGGAAAAAAAAAAGAGGGAGGAAACTGCAGGGGGCCTCGCCATCCCTCTGTGGTCCAATCAACAATGTTACTCCCTGCAGTTTGTCTGATTAATGGCTGCGCCTCCCACTGGGTTTGTGTAATAGGTGCAAGCAAGGTGTTTAAAAGTACTTTGTGCTTAATTGCTCTCGAGGTCAAAAGCGTGAGGCGTGTACCATGCAGGGAGAAACTCATTCTCAGTTTTTAATAGTTGACTTTATTGAATGCAGGTATAAGCTGTAGCATTATTTCCCTCAGCTAGGCACAGTTGTATAGTTGAAGTCAGGAGAGCTTTGCATTATACCCTGACATTTGTACGCTTTCCAAATGCAGCTGGTTTGATCTTTACAGACCTGGTCAACAACAGCAGTTACTTAAAACTGGTGTGGAGGGGTTGGGAAAAAAAAAGCTTCTCAGGAGTTGGTATTTGGGAAAGTAAGAGTTAAAACTGGGGTGATTACATGGAAAGCATGAAAACAATTGCTAACTGAAAATGGACTAATCAGCCATTTAAGATTTATAAGTCAATAGAAGGAACAACATAAATTCATTGGCTTTTATTTTTGTGCTTGCCAGCTGCTCTCATGCCTATAGTTTGTAAAATATAGATTTCTTTCTGCTAGCAAATTACAGCAAACCATTTGGCAGTCATCAATTTGTCTTTAATATTTTTGTCATTTGGGAATTATTGTGAAAAAATTTAGTAAGCTCTAATTTAATTAAGCATTTCCTGTTACGCAATGATAGTGCATTCTTGGATTTCTCACTTGCATAATATTTCCTGTTCTAATTGGCCTTTTGTATTCCATGGAAAAAGCAGTCTAGTTTGAGTTTTCATTGATTGATTTGACTGATTATATAGAGATAGCATGCTGGTAACATGATTTATTTCATAAAAATGTAGTCAGAAACACCATTGCCTCAACTTCTATTAATGTGTTTCTTTTTTCAGTTTGCAAGTATACAGTCCATGAACGCTGTGTCTCAAGAGCTCCTGCATCTTGCATCAAAACATATGTGAAGTCCAAAAAGAATACTGATGTAAGTTTGGGGTAGCATTAACTTTGTCATGTACCTGTTAATTTAGTAACTCTGTGTATATCCACACTTTTCTTTTGCAGGTAATGCATCATTTCTGGGTAGAAGGAAATTGTCCAACAAAATGTGATAAGTGTCATAAAACTATAAAATGTTACCAAGGCTTGACTGGACTTCACTGTGTTTGGTGTCAGATCACAGTGAGTATACTATGGTAAAACCTTTAGCACAGATTATAGAGACAAAAATCTGCATATCTTTTATATAGCTTCGTAATTCAAAAGGTCTTGTTCAGTTTTTGTCATCAGGAATGAATAGTGTGTGTTTAAGAAAAGGTATATGCAGAATATTCATAGGAGTCCTTAGTTGTTGCAAACAAATAACACTGAAAGCTGTACTCTGCTGCAAGACAATGTACAAATGGAAATAATATATGTCACACTAAAGAGCACAACTCCCAATCTACATTACAGAAAGATTATAAAAGAGTTTTCAGTATCAGGGAAAGTCAAGGTCACTGTGACACTGGGGCAGAATCCTAATTTGTGGTGTACTGACAGGCAAATGAAATTGAGAATATCTGGCAGGATACAGTGATTTCAAGTGTCTGGGAATAATAGCAGAGACATCCTGATAATATACTAATCTGTGCACCAAGTCTAATATATACAACTTTTGTGCTTATAAGTGAGATCTTCATGCTAGAAGGAGCAATGCCAGTATTTCTGTTCCTAGCCAGGGCAGGATTTAAATCTAAATGTGGGGAGAGATTCAGCCTTCTAGGGTTTTTGCTTTTTTGCTGATATCATTATTGTTAATGTTATGGAACAGCAGTTGTTTGTTCAGTGTTTTAAATAATGAGACTGAGACATTAGTGAATGTTTGTTTTCAGCATACAGGTTTGGATGTTTTATGACATATTTTCTTAACACAAGGATACAAAATATGAAACATCATCAAAGAAAATAGATCCAGGATACTTTCAGTAATAAGCTGTTATGATTACTTAAAAAGCAATATTTTAGAAGAAAGCAAATATGTAGTCCAGATTGCTGTCAAAATTTGTATAATTTATGTAGAGAGTAAAACACCGAGTCCAAAATTTTTGCATGCAGATAATTAAATTTAGGCAATGGCTATTTCTGTTTAGATAGATAAACAAGTGTTTTCCGCTCTGGATATAGAAGTACTTACACCTGTGTAATATCTGTATATCATTCAAAAAATATGTATGTTGTAAGGCTCCCTCTTACAGTCAAAGGAAGCTGCAAATTCTGTAGCTCCTCAGAAAAATTATTTTCCCATTATTTCATGTGAATCTGGACCAGATTTGTAAAGGCCTTTTACTTCTTGAAGATACATATCAAGATTTAGAGGACTTCCAAATGAGGAAATGCTGAGGAGTGGTTTATCATTGAAATCACTGTGAAGCAAGAGGCTAAATCCTTTTGAAAATATCTTGGGTGCTTGTGTGCGTAGTTAAATACTTAAATATCTATCAAAATTCCAATTAGAAATAAGCCTATGTTTTTTGACTGCTGAAATTGAAAATGTTGGCACTGAAGTTTACAATTTTGTGATTGTATTTCCATCAGTAATGTAAAGATTTTTATTTTCTGTAAAAGTAATGTTGTATTTTCAAGATAACTTTAGTAATCTTTTTATTTAATTTTTATGACTTCAGGTGTAAATTAGACATATAAGTGGAAAAAAAGTAATGTTGTATTTTCAAGATAACTTTAGTAATCTTTTTATTTAATTTTTATGACTTCAGGTGTAAATTAGACATATAAGTGGAAATGAGTTTTAAAGTTCTAAAAATATTGCAATTTATTTGATTTTCAATTTCCGATCCCCTTTTCTTGCAATTCTGTGTATTCTATATAGTCTATTGCGATACTTTCTTTGGTAATGGTAATAACTTTTTTTATTACTGAAAAAAGTTTTTTGAATTTGTAACAGATGCGGGATTTTTGAATGGATATTCTGAAGTTGTGTAATTGTCATCACATGCTTCATACGTTTTCAACTCCTTGTACAGCAACACATCTAGGGCTTGTTGCTGACATATTTCTGTAATGTAGAAAGATGCTAGTTATTACATAACTAATTCTGAGCCTATTTCATGCATTTTAAATATCTCTCCCTCTTACAACTTAATATATTCACTTCAAATGTCAAATAACTGAATAAAATCCCCAAAGCTAGGCGTGTTTTTCACTGAGGAGGCTTGTATACCGAGTGCTCAGCCAGGCCCGTGATTCCCTCTTCCATATACTCTGTAATTCTCTACCATGGTCTAGTAAATGGTTTTTCCTCTTTTTCTCTCCAGCAAATATTTTTTTTCCTACTTTGCAGGCATCTGGTTGTGAGGGAAGTAATATTCTAAAGGAGCTAGGTTTGGAGTAAGGGAATTTTGGGGAAATGTTTTAAAACATTTTTTTGAGAAGAGGTGCACATTATTTTATTTCGTTGTGTCAAAGTGTTATTTTCATTAAAGCTACATACCTTCTACCATTTCTGTTTGCTATGTGCCAGTTCTGTTGTCAAAGATCAGCAGAGACTAATAAGAAGATTAAGCTATTTTTTCATAGATAAGTTTGCATGCCACCGAGTAGCAAAGCTGCTAATTACCACTGAATTTGTGAAGATACTTTTATTTGATGTAACATGGCCTGGTGTGCATTAATTATGGTACAAGTAGCCTTACCACTGAGGCAGAGAATTAGCATGACAAATGATTTAGATTACAGGGCTACCAAAATACCCTCACAATAAGTCTTTAATACTTAGAGTAAATCGAAACTCATTAGACTTTTATTTTCTGTTGCTAAGTAACTGCCTGAAAAGGTAACTTTGCAGTATAAATGAATATGGACAAGGCTAATATTAGGTGCCATTCAGTTCAAAATCCAGAAATGTTATGTCAACATTAACTGTACCAGATAACTTTATGAAGACCATATTACCGGTAAAGCTTGTATACATCAGAAACTGGTATGATTTTATTGTAATTTTAATAGAGTTCATACACACATAGTTAAATCATCTAAGGGAAAATGAATCAGTCATTGGAAAAATGTGATTTATGGAAGCAGACATTGAACTACAGATTTTATGATGGCTATTGAACCTGTTGAACTAATGCTGTATGCTACCTATTATGTTAGTTAAATCACTTGTTAAAAAAGATTTTTACTTCAAAATTTCTGGTATTTATTATCCTAATTATTTTTCTTTAATACAAAAATACATTTCTTCCCCCCAAAAAAAATATTAATCTCTATGGGAAATGGGTATTACCTGAAGACCTTAATGCACAGTTTACTGATACAGTGCAGAAATAGAATCATAGAATCATTTAAGTTGGAAAAGACCTTTAAGATCACTGAGTCCAAAATAACAAATTTTCACCAAATTTCACATTATGAAGTTGTGTTTTGTGGTGTTTGTTTCTAATAATATTGTGAAGTATACCAACTAAATGTGAATGCATGATCCAGACACACAACTGTGTCCTTGTACTGTGTGGCTGGATATATATGTTGAAATATTCTATTTAGAGACATTTGAGTTGAGTTAAATCCTAAATATTAACAAGAACTCATGATTGCTGATGCAAAAAATTTCAATAAGTATATCATTATTTGTTGGCATTTTATGTTGATGTTATATACACATTTTTCCCATCCACCTTTTTAAGAGCCAGTTCTCTTTCAGTCAGCAGACCTGAGGATATTATTTCCATGTTCTCAGAGTAGAACTCTTCTCATTGCTTTCAGGAAAACTGAATGAATGCTAAGAATAAAGTAGAAAAAGGACAGTAATTCAGGTTCCTCATCAGTTAATGGAAGGCTGAACATTGATTCAATCAAGACCAAAATTTCCCCAACATAGCTTAAAGCTCTTAGATATTCCTGCGTTATTCTCTTACATTTCATATATATTTTCATAGCTATTGCAGCATCACAGCTGAGTTGGTAGTGACTTTATCAGCTTCAGGTAGGAAGGAGAGATACCAATAATGCCAAAGACGGTCCTGAATTACCCCAGCTTGCCCACTAGTAGTAGAAAAGTAGTTCCTGGCTCAGTGCAAGAAGCTGTCTTCTGAAATGAAGGTTTTGATCACAAATAACACTATGCTGATATTACTGTGCTGCCATGCAGTGTTCTTCCTTGGTGTGCTGAACCACATGTGCAATTTCCAAAGCAGAAAATATTTTCATGCGCTGGTCTTTGCTGCAATATAAATTCATTGGTTTTGTCAATCGTAAGAGGCTTTCCACAGCAGTGTGTTTCATTTTTCTTGTAGCACTTTAGTAAAAATTAGATTAATTAAACTCAACCCATTCTAGGATGCCCATTTTCTTAGAATGTAGTAGTAAAATGTCTAAGTTGAATCTTCATTTTCTGTCTTCTCATAGTTGCATAACAAATGTGCTTCACATCTAAAACCTGAATGTGACTGTGGACCCTTGAAGGACCATATTTTACCACCCACATCAATCTGCCCAGTAGTATTGGTGAGTTGTCCGTATGTTTTTTCTGAAGTAATCCTCTGTCATAGGTAATGGCTAAAATGATGCTGGGACGGACTGCCAGAGTGTTTGTTAAATTCACAGAACTGTGTGAACCTTGAACACAATGGGTAATGCTGGCTGATGAGTTTATAGGCACAAACGTGCTTTATCCTCTGCATATTGCATTTTCCTTCATGTGAGAATGAACTTTCTGTAGGGCATATTACAGCTGAAGCTGACTCAGGTTTTATCACTTACTCAGACTGTACTTACCAGAAACTGTATAGGCAGAACACTTCTACATTTTACATCTTTTATAGATCCAACTTCCCAGAATAATGAAGTTATTCTTATGGACAGTTTTTGCTTGGGATGCATATTGTATATCTGCAATGCTGAGGTCTCTGATCTAAGCCGGAGGTTACCTAGAATGATGACATTGGTCTTGCAGTAAGCTATGCATCAACATTATGGTGTATTTTATTCTGCAGTCGTGGACAGTAAATTTATCTGTCTACAAAAACAATAATTCAATGAAAATAAAAATGCATGCTATGTGTAGGTTGTATAGAAAAGAGCTGACCAGTTTATTATGAAAAAAGAGCTTCGGAATTAACTTATGTATTCATATATTAAATCAGGTGGTTTATGCTGATGAAAGTAATAGCATCATCATATTGATAACAGAACAGATGTGTGGTCCTCCTACTTTAAATATATGTCACAATAACAGTAAGAAATGCTTGAATTTAAGAAAGAATGATTTGTTGCAAGGAGGAAAAACAAGAAAATATACCTCCTAATCGTAAACCTGTTTCTGATCATTAAGAATAATACTCATGCCTGTTGTAAATTACTTGTTTTCTGATTAATCCTTTTGGCTGTTTGTTTATGAATCTGCTAAGGGGTGGAGGCCCTCTGCTTCAGTAAACTAGGACTATTCCATTGCTGTCAGTGAAGGTAAAGCAATGGAAAGCTGCCTTTAGTACTTAAATATTTTTTTAATATTTTTGAAAAGTCAGGAGAGTAGTTTTGTAGTTTGTCTGTATTAGTATTTTGATAATGCCTGGACAAGTTCTGAATAATAATTGCAAAGTATTATTTTAACCTTTTTGGATGATCATATTCTGCATGACATTATTTAATTTTCAGGATTTTAGGTCATACTTTAAAAGTTAACATGTAGAAATTATGATTTTGTTATGGGACTGTTTTTGTTTTATTGTTACTTATTGTTTACCATTCTTATATACTGAATAAAGCCTCAGCATGAAATTTCATCTTCAGTTAGATTTGCATAACTCCATTTTCTTTTCAGCAAAGGAAGAGGGATAGAGGAATTAAGATTTTCATTCCACAACTGGAGTTTAGTTGTTTAGAGGATACATAAAACCACTCTAGAGTCAAATCACCCTTGAATAGGTTTATTTTATCTGCAAATTTTGAAGGCATAAGCAGAAGTAAATATGTTTTCCTGTATCAGAATCATGTTTCAGTGTTACATACTAATAATGTAACAAAAAACATGTATTTCAGCACAATGTATTTTGTTAGGAATGGAAAATATATTTTACTGTGATTTAATGGGAACTTTACAATTTTGTAGAATATTTGTTCAGCTAGTAGTTTCTGCCAAAAATGCATCAAAATCCTGAGTATACTTATGTTACAAATAATACATCAGTGATCTAGCTAATAGGAATTCCTCCTAGAAATGATCGGTTACAGTATACATGTTATTTATCTTAGTAATTTTTGAAGTAGTTTCTCCCATTTCCTGTTGTGGGGATTCCTTTTGAGAAACATGGTACTTCAGCGTATGTGAAACCAGCACCCTCGATAAAGACAGCAAAACCAGTGAATATAGACAATTTTGACATGGGTAAAGATACAATAGGAAATGTGTCTGTTAATAGCGGTGGTGTGTTCAGACACCTCAAATCATACCTGATAGTGGAAGGGTCTTTCACCTAAGACACACATTTAGCTTCAATGATCAGCTGAGCAGTAATATTCTTGCAATACTACATATATGTGGAAGGTAAAGAAAGGCACATAACCACAATGCTTTCTATACCAGGTTTATACCTGAGTATTTTGAGGTGTTAGAGAAGAACATATCTCCTTCTCCCATAGAATAAGTTATGGAAGTTGTGGGAAAATAGCAAGTTGAAAAATCTTGTATCTTTGATCTCCCAAAAGTTTTGGCTCTCCCTTCCATCTGTAACTTTGGAAGTCCAGACTTCTTCCAGGAAACTGTCAGTTCATCTCAGACCAAGATGCCTTCTCATAAGTTTTCCTTCAAGAGTACGTGCTAAATCCCTTCTCATCTTTTCTCTTTTGAGGAACTAAGGACATTCATATTTTTACCTTTCTCATCCAGCATGTCTCATTTTTTCATTTCTTGAGAACTCTAGCCTCAACTCTTTCTGCAGAGATAAAGAGAATTTGTTCATAAAGTGCATTTCACAGCACCACGTGTTATACCTGAGCTACCAAACCAGTCGCTCAGCTGCAATTTGTTGTTCAGGTCCATATCCTCTCAGTTTTTCCATTTCTGCAACTGTGACGAATAAATTAAAAAATAAGATTTCCTTATTGTAATATCATAAAGGGTGACATTTCCCTCTAAACATAGCCATCTCAGCTCGGGTGACTGTTCTAAATTACTCATTTAGGGTGTCTTTAGACACAAGAGAGATTCCTTTAAAACAGAGTGACTGGCATGACCCTCTCATACTGTCCCTTCTCTTCATGGCTGGAGAGACAACCTAAATGCCTGGTCATCTGAAAGTTAGATGGCTGGCTGAAGTTAAATAAAAAGGCTTCCATCTTCAAAACTGCACAAAAAATGGGACTTATCAAATTTTATTCCTAAATATGATAAGCTACATTCTCAGCTGAAAAAGAAACCATGGGAAAACTCGTGCAGTCGATACTGTGAATATTATTAAAGAGTCACATATCTGTCTAGATTCAATGCCATATAAAGATTTTTCATATCTCACTTCAATGCTTTTTAATGTTTTAGTAAAATACAGTCTGTCAACTTTAAAACTAGCCCTTTTTACTTTTCTGTTTACTGTATATAAGGCTTGTTGTATGGTGAAGTTTTTTGTTCAAGTTAAATGAGTTTTGTTATAAACTGTGTGTGCAGATCTCAAGTGATAGTCTTTTAATAGATGTCAGATACACTTTAATGTTACTCTCTTTTATTTCAGTAACGTTTTAATTAATTCTTACTGATTGAATAAATGTACATTGAGACTTGTTTCCTAATGAGGGCACATTTAGAGGAAAGGTTTTGCATCATTCTGATATCCTGTGGGTAATTATATTCTAATTATATGGGGGGGGGTGAAAGTCTATAACTCAGTGCTGATATTGTTCATTGGGCCCAATTAATTACATGCACATAATGAAAGTTCATGATAAGGTTGACTGGCAGTGAGTTTAAAAATCTTTAACTCAATTGAATCCTAGCCTATCAAGAGTACAGAATTAGATCATAACCAGGTTAAAAACTGGGTATTGGAATGAGATGAGTGAGTAGTGAAGAAAAAAAGATTGGTCTCTCCTTATGATACAGCTTCTCTCTCCCCACCCCTTTATAAAGCAGAAAGCCAAAAATGGTAACATACATTTTGGCTTCTTTATTTCAGGTCTTCCTTTATTTTGCTCCGTTTATTGATGAACACGTAGGATGTTCTAATTCATATTTGTATTTGTAGAAAAGTAATTAGATTTTTATATTTCCCACCAAAATAGATATAGCCTTAGGTAAGGACAAATCAACCAATAACAGCCTACTATTTAATAAATATGTATTTATTTCGTAATGTATGATGATTTTGATTCTTCTATTGTTTATATGAGTTTCACAATTAATTATTTTTTACTTCTAACATTGGTTTTGGAATCTGTAATTAAAACTGTTAATTGTGGAATAAAAACAAAATTGTGAAATAAATTGTAAAACATAAGGTACCCTGATTATGGTGTGAGCATTAGTATATGACATTTATCACTGTCTCCATAGTAACCAGTTTATTTCAAAGGGGAAGAGCCTGTTATAATATTGAAGATAAAAAGTGAAAGAAATAAATTTTAAAATTAAACACACTTACTTGTGTTCCATTTTCAACCTCACTGTTCAGCATTCTGGGACAAATTTGTCATCTTTATAAAAAGTTTGGAACAACTCGCTTTTTGTTTCTTTTCTCTTACGAATAAATCTGACTTTTGTCTAATGAAGATGCTTAGAACTTTTTAGGACAAAATAATTTCAGCATAAATTCTGTTTATGTAAATATAGAATATATATATAGAGAGAATTCAGTATATATAAAATATATATAGAATTTTTAGACATCGTAGAGTAAATTTGTTTATATACACCTAATATAAAATACCATCATAAGTTGAATTCTCTTGACCTTTTATTTTAAAGTATAAATGGCTGTATGTTTTGGTGGAGGAAACAGGTGTATCTGATTATGGTTTCGGTTGGTTTGGCATTTTATTGTACAAGAACATAAATGTTCAAAGATCTTTTGTTTATAACCAATTCTATTTATGTATGTAAAACAATATGCACATCCGATTACAAATGTTTTAACAAAGAAATGTGCCTTGTGCAACTATACAATATACATTATGATCTGTAGCTTTCAAACTTTGTAAATATAGCAAGTGTGTTGAGATGCTGGCAAAAAGTAATACGGAATTAAAGTTGAAAATATGTACAAGAATTTTCTTTGACTGTCGGTATTTAGAGGCACTAGATAGAATAGCTAATGGCTGTGTTATAATTGCAACATAGTTCAACAGACATTTTTTCCTTGTCTGATAATATGTTTCACTAATACTGTTTTCCTGTGAGGTAGGTAAACGTTACTCACATAGAAAAGCAAAGATGTAGAGAGAGAAAAAGGGAATTAGCAGTTGCTGGTTGTAGAATGAGCTTTTCTTAATCCCTTTTCCAGTTTTTAATCCTAAAATGATTCTTCTGTTTTTATTATAGTAGAGATCAGTTTTAACTCAGTTGAATCCAAGCTCAACATGGAGCACAGGAGTCAGTGCAGTGTGTAAGCATCCTTGTGAGCAACTTGATCCTTTGAAGTTGAGTACTAGCCTTATTCTGAGTTTCTGAACAAAGATACTACACAAACCCAGTCATTGAATATATATGCTTTGGGGGGGGCTGGGGGGAGAGGGAGGGGGTGACACGCGGTTGAAATCTGGTTCTTGAATATTCAAAGTAATGACATAGCAATTGAAACAGAGTTTAAAAACAAAATTTTTCCCTTTTCAGTTGCATATCATATTGCAGATTCAGTTCTCTAAGAATTTAAAACAGACGTGAAATATAATGGTGTGCTTATCTACACTAAGAACTTTTTCATTTCTTTGAAGTCAGAAGGAAATTAATAATTGCCCTGGAGGAAAATGTATCTTCCTAACTAATTATCTGTTCGGCAAACACTGTTCAATGTTAAAATAATAAGATGCTGATAAACTGAAATGGAAGCCATTCAATCATTTTAAGTTATGTCTAGTTGCCTGCGCACAACTCATCACTACTGTCTGTGCCTAAGTTTATTCCTTACATCCTCCCCCACTGGAGTTTAACATGTTTTTATTTTCAAAATTCTTTTCCAACTCTTTTATTTTTCTTGGACAGTGTATATAATTGCCTGATATAGACCAAGTTCATATTAGGTTGCAAATTGTATTAAAGTCTTGGGCCCTACTGTAGTTGCATGTTGATGCATATATGGAATGGATGCAAGATGTAAGGCCAAGTTATCTTCAGCCAACTAAATGAACTAAGGCCGACATGCTAAACAAGAAATAGTTGATTGTGATTTTGATGTGTAATTCTTTACATCTCTATTAAGACATACTAAACAAGCAACACAAAGTATGTATATAAAGTTATCATGTAGCGATTCCTTGTTCAGAACAGTCTTATGGTCAGCTGTTTTGGAAGGTACTCTGAAATGACTCATCTCCATTCCAGCCTTGTCTTTTTCCTTGTGTTTTGGCTACTAGTATCACGAGTGACAAAATACGTCCTTCTGATTGACATAACGTGATTTTTAATTTCTTATTTTCTTAGCTGCAATTGTTTTTATCAAGATAGCTCTTAGATAAATTAGAAGCCTTACCTTTCCTTTATAATATGGGCATGTGCAGCTCACTGAACAGTAGTTTCGCTAGTGAATTGGTCACTAACCTTGTCCACAGGATGACTTTTATCTTCAGTCCGTGGATGTAGAGCCGGGTATTGTGCTACAGCTCTATGAGCTTTCAAAACAGCATGATGTGGTGTCCTAGTATTGGCCCTTCTCATTAGTATATACACAGGGTTAGAGCTGGAAATGTGGAGAAAATTTTATAAAGTAAATTTTCAAAATATTTTAGCACGCCTATATCATAGTTAGCTGGATTTGATATCTATTAGATATTACAGATAGATTGATCCCTAGGGTTTTAGACTAGTGGTCATGGGCGTTTTGCAGTTTTCAGGGTGTGTTGAATCTTTGATTCTCTTTGATTGTTGTGTAACTATGGACAGAAATTGCATGGAGTGGAATTTTTGTAAGCAGAGTCTTGAATACCTCGTAGGTTTACAAAATGACAGTCTAGGAGTACCTATTGTAATATTTCATTGCATGTTAAAGCACAGATTTTGCATCACTTGGAGATTCCTATGTCATTAAACAAAATAGCTGTGAGAAATCATGGAGCAACCTTCCTCCAAGTTCTTAAGAAAACCCAAAGCATCCATTTGGTATTCAAGTCACATATTTAAACTTCCATGGCCTTCATCCTGCAAACATTTGAGGATACCTTTACACTGCATTCCATGCATTCCGTCTGATCTTCCTTGACCAAATTCCCCTGATCAATATCTTTCAAGTTCAAATTTCAGAGTTCTAAAAAAAGATTATTTTTTTTAATAACTGTTTCAGTTTATGCATATTAATGTAGAATTTGTCTCCTTATGCACCCTCATCCCCAAGTTGGGTTTTAGGCTATATGCTTCCTCTGAAGGCACGTAGTACAAAAGAAGTAATTATCATACATAAATACATCATACATATCATTACATACAGAGTAATCTCAAGTTTTCAGTGGTTATGTAACAAGCTGTGTAATGATATTAACCATTCACTAATGGCTTTACAATCCTATTTAATGTATAAATGAATTGTTGCTTAATATATAAAAAAATAATTTTAAACAATTTCAGCTCTGTATAAAATAATTCTGAAAAATAGATTTGCACTTATTGATTAAAACACAAGGTGAGAAAAAGCGATTTTTGCTGTATTGGCACTAGATTCTATGTCAGCAGTTAAAATGTAAAAATTTAACTATCTAGTAAGCTGCTAGTTACTATTCATTCTTATAACAGCTGTGATAGAGTTTGATATTTCCAAATGTTAGTGTTTTGTGTAAAGGAAAAGACTGTCCCTCTGTATAAGTAAAGAGTGGAAACACTTTTTGAGAATGAATGTTGTAGAATTTGTCAATTGTACTAGAAGAAAGCTTTTTAAATAAGATTCATTGCTGTGGATGAGGATTCAAAGACTTGGAAGATAAAATCAAGACAATATTCCCCAGGTGTCAAGTATATCCTGTTACTGTTTGAAAGAATAAAGTCCTCAGGTTTTCTAGTATTTTTAGCTGGTGCTAAAGCAGTCCCACATATAGTTCCCAGAATATGAATTATATAATATGACAGCCAAAACGTTGGGGGAGTATGGTTTTGCAAATGTGTAAAAAAAGCACAGTGTATGGTTACTGTCAAGTACAACTGCTGCAAGGGAACATTCCTCGTGAGTGCGCTCTCCATGCCCCATGCTGTCCCAGCTGTTCGGTGTTGCAGCCTAACGTTCTCTTTTTCCAACAGACGCTACCCACTTTAGGAGGTTTGCTCCCTGAGGTGCGTAACAGGAGGTATCCATGTACGCACGAGTACTAACGGATGATGATATTGTACATTCTCTTTGCTATAAAGTGCATTTTGGGGCTGAACTAAAAATCTAGACATGATATTCTGTGTTATGATTTGAAAGGCCCTTTCTTATCAATTTTTTTTTCTTATTTGGATGAATAAGGGATGGATACAATTGAGTAGTTCTTATCTGACAATGACCTCTTTGGAGCAATACTGAATGGTAGAAGCTCCAGTTAATGGATATTGACTTGAAAGTGAGAATTCAAGGGGAGAAAAGATGGCATGAGAGGTGCAAAAATGGAAAAAATTTTTGTTGTGGTAAGTGCTATTTTGAAAGGTATGTGCTCTGGCATATACCAGAATAACAGGAAAGCTTGATTCTATGAGCCATCAAAATGTACAATAGCTTTAAAATGCTGTATTCAGTATCTCTACAACTTCATGCATGTCCACTAAACAAAATGGTTCACAGATACATTAATCATTTTGTATACTTTAATTAACAAGAGATTAAATGCAGCACAACTGTTGTAGGATCATTTCTTACCTTGAAAAGTGAAGTTTTGCATTTCCAAAACCATTTATTCAATGCATGTCAAATTTGTCTTAACATTGCTAGAATTTGTAGGCTATTATCCACAGTTGATTTTATTAAGCTGTTATTATCTCATTAAATAATGACTCTGTTTAGTTCCTGACACTCTTGGATAGCTTAGTAATGTTATAGTAATATTATAGTTCCTGAAAGAAAGTTATTCAGTCATGTGCAACTGGATTAGAAAGCCAGCTTTCTATTCCATATATAAAACAAAGTGTCTGTGCAAGAATATTTTAAATCGATTTCTTTAATGAAATGGTAATTATTCAATTTTTGTGTTCCATTAATAGATTCATTCAATAGAATTAAGATACACATTATTGTATTATTTCATATAAACTGTAAGTCAGATCATCACTAGTATGACAGACATCCCAAAATTATAGGGTATTTAACTCTAGGAAATCTAGAATCTCCTATCATCTTCTTCAGAAATGTTTCATAGAGCACTACTGGTACATGCGGTGACATGTATTGTGGTATCATATGCATGTAAGATGGGTGATATGAAATACTGTAATTGTACTTTCTTCAAAATTGTCATTGAAGGAAGCAGACCTTCAATGATAATAAGGTCAGATATCTATATTTTATTTTTTTGAAGACACTTTAGAGAATTCTGTGTTATGAATATGCTTTTTGTTTTATGTTGTGTGAGGTGTATGGCCTAACCTTGTGTAGTCAGTGCTTAGGAGAAGCTGTCTTTATCTGTGAGCCAAGCAATTGTTTTGCATATGGGACAGGTAATATAAATTCAAGAAGGAATGTTGCTAATGCAGTAGTCATAGGGCCAAGGCCAGCTGTTGCCAGGCCTGCTGTTATCTGTGTCATGCTGGAAAAAAACCCCAAACAATATCAAAAACTTTGCTTGAGGTAATTGTTACTGCATTTTGCATATGAGTGATTGATAACAGCAAGTTTGGGCACTGTGGTAAGCATCCTTTATGTAAAGACAGTTCTCAGCAGTGTATAAATACTTTTCCTCTAAGTAATAGTATGATATATGCAAGAAGATTTTTAGTACCTCGCTTTGTAGGTAGGCCTCTTTTGAACAGTGTTTTTTTAACCTCTCTAAGTGGACATATTCAGTGTGCTGGATCTGTTCCTTTCTATTACCTTTTTCTTGAAACTATCGCAGATATGTTGTTTAGCTTACCTTTTTTCTAGACTTCTAAAAATTTGCTTTCCGTCTCTGATTTTTGTTAGAAATCGGGGGTTTTTACTAGCTATGTGTCTGCATTACTGACATCTGATTTAGTTTTTTGAAGATGTTGCAATATCCAGGAGCCAGATTTGGCTGTAGTATAAAATCACAGAATCACAGAATAGTAGGGGTTGGAAAGGACCTCTGTGTGTCATCTAGTCCAGCCCTTCTGCCGAAGCAGGGTCACCTACAGCAGGCTGCAGAGGACCTTGTCCAGGTGGGTCTTGAATATCTCCAGAGAAGGAGACTCCACAGCCTCCCTGGGCAGCCTGTTCCAGTGGCTCCGTCACCCTCAGAGGGAAGAAATTCTTCCTCATGTTCAGACGGAACTTCCTGTGCTTCAGTTTGTGCCCATTGCCCCTTGTCCTGTTGCTGGCCACCACTGAAAAGAGTTTGACCCCATCCTCCTGACACCCACCCTTGAGACATTTATAAGCATATATTAGGTCCCCTCACAGCCTTCTCCATGCTAAATGAGCCCAGCTCCCTCAGCCTCTCCTCATAGGAGAGATGCTCCAGTCCCCTCACCATCCTCGTAGCCCTCCGCTGGACTCTCTCCAGTAGC